TTTACCACTGACAGATAACTTTCACAGCTGAGGGTACATGGATYACATGTTAAAGGACCAGATCCGGTTCTTGGATACCCCAAGCTCTCATATTCCTCTASGTTTATATAAAATTATCACAGAAATCTGAACTTTGATCTCAAAACTGGGAAGTTTTAAGTAAGAGACAAARGAGGAGAAACACTATGCTATGTACTTTGCTAGAAAGGCAAAGCACAGGCTGAARAAAGTTTGAAAAGATGGCATAAAATCGGCAGATACATTCAATGCAGTGAATTCCCTGTCTTCAGACAAACAGCAGGGAGRGGAGGGAAGATGGGCTTTATGCTGAGCACAGCTGGGCACTCAGAACAGCTTTTTRCACAACACAAGGCACAAATGAGACCCCAACTTGTTGCCTTCACATAACCCAAACACCAGGTCAGAAATGGGGGAGTTCCCTTCAACTGCCCTGTTCCCATTTCAGACTGAATGACTCCCCAAATTATAATGAAGTAGCACAAAGCTGGSGTTTTAAAGTAATTTTTAGGGAAGTTTTGTGCATTTGAATAATCCCCAACCCTTGATTTCAGTGATAAACACCTGTGCCAGTGMCATATGACAAAGCTGTTACGTGTCATTATGTTACCTAATAGTGACAAGTTATTCARTCCCAACCATTATATGGGCATTGTTTGCTCCATAGCCAATCTTTCCTGCAGAGCACAGCTCCAGAACACACAGTTTAAAAGCCTAATTTAAAAAAAAATGTAATTGGCTGAATGGGAAGAGCACATTGCTTTTTAACKAGTACAGTTTTTGCTGGACACATCTGGACTATGTCTTCAAATAGAACTTATCAGAAATACATTATTGATCTAAATGGACTTCTAAAAATCTGTTAGCTGCATTCACTACGACAAAAAATGTAAAAACAGCACCATGTTAAAGATGGTTACCTGATAATTTAATTCTGCAGGTAATAAAGATACCAGGAAGAGTGGTCTCTCAGGCTCACACATTCCCAGTTAAAAAAMCATCTGCATCACGATCTGCTATAGTGGCAACTGCTTAGTGGGACTCTGAAGAAATTTCCCATTTGACCATGATGCAGAAGAGTTCCAGATCTGTACAATAAAGGGTAATTYGAATGGATAGCTTTATTTTTYTTGTATTCATTAGAGCATGTTTAAYTGGCTTAAGAAATGCTTCATTTTCTGGTGACAGTGGTCATGTTCTGTGCTCAGAAAATGCTACTTAACAATCCTGWRCCTGTTAAAAGATGATAAACTCACRCCATTCTTTCTTATTTTATGCTTCMTTTAGATRGGTTCTGCTTTCTCATCTTGTGCTATTTGTTGAGCTAAAATTCATATACTAAAAAGGAAATTTCTTTTTTCCCTTTCCTAAAAATTTTACTATGGTCTGTAGTGAATTACAACTTCTAGTGCCTTAACAAAGCAAACTCTGAGAAAATACCAGTAAGAGAAATTGTTGATAGGAGTGGAAAACACCCTCTTACAACTGAAATACACACTGTATAAATAACTAAATAACTGTGTGTCTYTTCTTTTTAAGCTCCATCTCGTAAGTTACATTTAATTATGGTTTGACAACAGAAAATAACCTTATCTGTAAGAGCCTTGCAATTAATTTCAACTTCCATTAAAGTGTTTTTTCACCTCCAGTTACTGCCTGAAAAAAAMGCCTGAATCTAAAGAAGTCAAATATAGCATATTTTCAAAGGGTATTTTTCAATATAGTCTGATCTGGGGCCCACTGCACCAAATAACAGCAAAATGGAGATGTGGAGGAGTATTAAAATCAGACTTGGCTCTGACTTTTCAGTGAGGGATCATTAATAACATGAAGTAACACCATGACTCTGTCAAAATGACACAGRATTTTCTCAAGCAATCACCCAAAASACMATTYRGTTTGGTCCTTGCTGAATTGGACATGAAGGACACAGAGAAGTCACTTGAGACAAACATTTTGCCAGCAAAGGTGGATGAGTCCTCACTGGAGACTTTCCGGCAGCCTCAGCTCCATGATGCAGTGCTTTTGATGATGTCAGTAATGTGCTGAGGCAGTGACACAAATGAGCTTATATAGGTTAAATAATTCTGAAATTAATCATAGAACACCTCAGGATCAGGGCAGTTTAACAATGAGAAGAATTGCATGTAAACAAAGTACTCATGAAATACACCTGTAAAACTGGAGATCCTTTTYCACAGAACACTCACAACACCAGAGTCCCATCCCTCTCTTCCCAACATGGGAACTGTACTCCTTTCCTCAGTGTTTCCATGGAGTGTGAGGACTTTCATCAAATAAACAGCACAAAGTATTTTCTCCTGGGTCATGGTGCAACCAAGCAGGATTGCTAAATCGTAWCAGACAGACAACATCAAAAACATCTCAACCTTTTGGAATACAAATCTGACAACAGCAGCCACCCTGCTCTACAATCCCACTATAAGATACGGACAGAATAAAAATAACTTCTTTTGATCCTCCCTGGAATATAAGCACAGCACTGAGCCTGTACTGCAGCAGGTCCAATGTATTTTGTGCATATGCAATATACATTAATAGGAAATTATTATTGCTAAGATATAAGAGATTCCAAGCTTACATGATTTCAGGATTACACTGGGACAGTGGAAAACTCATTGGGTCCTGATWTAATATATTCAGGACATAACTTATTTGGAAATCCTCTAATATATGAGCAAAACTTTAGAGCTTAGTCTACATTAAAAAACAAAGGAAAGCAGTGCCCTTTAGAACAGATCACCTTCTTCTATGTGAATAGTAAACATYATAGACAGATGTTTGCCAAYTGCAAAACAACACTGCCATTTTTCAGTGAAAAAGCAAGAACTTGAATAAAGAAAAGGAAATCAAAGGTAACACTGCAAAATTGACAAGTCTGTTTAAAGCTACTTCAAGAAAAAATGMCACTAAACGTAAGACCACAAACACCCATCTTGCTTCTCAGCAAAGAGTCCAAGGAAGCAGGATTTTAAATGTTTTACTGTGTTAAAAGGTTAGGTGTTTCAAATCACACAGAGAGCACATAAACACCTAGTTTTGGACACAGAGAGAACACGCAGCAGACAAAGGCTACCTGGCAGATGGAAGCASAGAATAAACAATTAACCAGGAGAGCAGCAACCCAACCCCATGGCCGAGCCGGGGGGTCGCGGCTCAGGAACAACGCGGATATAGGAGAAAAGAGAAAAAACCCCGAGCACAGAGCCGGGGCGAAGGCAGAGCACCTGAGGATCGCTCCTCGCCCAGCCGAACGCCAGCCCGGGCTCCGAGCAGGGCCCAGCACAGCCCAGTCCCCCTCCCACAGGGCCCGCCCGCCCCTCAGGCCCCGGCCCCGCCACTCGCCTCGTCCGCGCTCAGCTCCTCCATCGCTTTCCTCTTAATGGTGCCCGGAGGGAGGGCGCGTTCCTCCGCCCCGCCGCAGGGCTGCTCCGAGGCAGCGCTCTCGTGCCGCCGCTGCCCCCCGGGCCGCCTCACAAGGGCATCTCCGGGGCGACCGCGCCGCGCCTCGCCCGCCGGCAGCACCGCCGCCCCCGGCCCGCTCCCCGCCGCCCGCCCGCGCCTCTGCAGCCGCCGCGGCCGAGGGGAAGCCGCCCTCCCAACACCACCACGTCCCTCAGAGCTCTCGGCCCCGGCCCCYGCCCGCCCGCAGCCGCTGCCCCGCGCAGAGATTATTCATCAAAACAACAGGGCGGCGGCGGCCATCTTGGCGATCACGTGACCCCGCGGGGGGCCGGGCACGCCGGGGCCGCGCGCGCGCCGCACCGACCAATCACAGCGCCAGGAGCGGGCGGGAGGGGCGGGGCCACGCTCAGCTCCGCCGGGGCGGGAGGGGCGGGGCCTGGGAGGGGCGGGGGCGGCGGGAAAGGCGGGGCCGTGAGGGGA